TGACCGATTATTCAGATAAAAATTACGGAAAACCGCGGAAAATTTCCGTGACTTTAGATAAAAATTACGTGACAGTTCCGTAAAATTTCCGACAACCACATTTCGCTCCAGAATTACGGAAAATACACGTAATTTTTATTGAATATTTCTCTCAGTGTATTTCCATTCACGCAGAATCACAATTTTCATAAGCGCATTATCGAAAATCATGTACTTATTATCAGTTTCAATACTTGAAAATTTCGCCTTCGAAAAACATAATTTTTTTCATTGTTTAACGATATACTGTATTTATTATAACAAATACCGTTTAAACCCAGCTGAATCGAATTTTAATTCCTTTCGATTATGCCCGTTAGTAGCCGCCATTTTTTGCATTATCACTATTATTGTTATTGTCATTATTATTCACTTTTTTTCATTTTAGGGGAATCCCACTTGACAGTCTATCAATCGAACGATTACTGGATTAATAATATATTCATTTAATATCCATTATATAATTATTTATTAAACTATACTATATATGTATTTCCCCGTTCAACCGCCGACCAATAGAATCACGCCATTCGATATCACGTGGTACAAGCTACACGATTTGAAACTCATAATTTGTTGATAATTTTATAACTATATTTATAAAATACAGATCATTCATTCACGTTAGCCATCTGTCGAACTGAGAGTTTAATTAGGTTGTGGATTAATTAAAGGATTCTTGTTATGCCTGTGAAATTCTCTTCGGGTATTCTTATCTAATTTTAGTCTCGTGACGCAATTTTGCTGATCGGCGTTTGAATGGGAAAAATAATCGCCGAATATTACTCGAGTTTCAAAATTAATCTGATATTTCCCTCCATAATGTCTGAAATATCCGATTATTTCAAAATTCTTGGAGTCTTAGAAGTGAAAAATTAAATTTTATTCGTTCAGCTCAATGTATCAGTTATATACTCAGATCATAGAAAGAAAAAGCATACATGAAGACCATCGGTTTTATTTACCAAATATATTTTCGGGTATGTGACCTTTTGAGTATGTGACCTGAAGTTGTAGTTTTGTAAAGTAATCCGATGTATTGATTGAATTTATTACAGTGAGAAGAATAAATTCCAGCGGACTGATAAATTTTCATATTATTCTATTCTGAGTGTAAAAAAAAATAAAGCAATTTGAGTGGATTGATTTTGAATAATGGTAATTCGAGAAACTGCTGCTGCTCATTTCGCCCCCTTACCTATAAACTAGTGTGTCTTATGCCATTAAATCCCCTCACTATCTCACTTGGTCCTTAATCCTCTCGTGTAAGTGACTCACACACAAGGATATACGCTACCTCAAGAATTATTTTTAAGAGGCGCTCTCGTCCAGCTGATATCACATACCCATGTATACAGTCACACGGTGTGTATAATACACGCGACGAGATTGCGTCGAATGAGTTTTCTAATTTACCTCCTCCGGGCAAGAGGCGCACCATAACCGATCTTCACCAAGACTGTGCTTGGCGCCGATTTACCGCCAGATAAGAGACACCGTAGTGGAAAACGGCTTATCGTCACACCGCCACTATGAGGCCAATGCGCATACATCAATTCCGCCTTTTTAGAGGTCTTTGACAAATTTTTTCCATCTAGAGGCCGACTGATTGCCGTATAATTACTCCATTTCCTTGCACACCCAGACAATTTTTCAAATTACCATGCCCATATAGTGGAAACTGACATGCCAGCATAGTAGACGGGTTTTCAATTAACTAAATAGTCATCCATTACGATGTCGATAGGTAAAACCTAATCGTAAACTATAGCATGCTTTACTAATTCGGGCATAGTAGTAATTACTATTATATATTAAAGTTTATAAGAGTAAATACCAGAGTAAATTGCTCGTATACTAGCTCAATATACATATTTACCAATAACTATGCTAATACTAATGATTATCACACTGAGAGAAATATTCAATAAAAATTACGTGTATTTTCCGTAATTCTGGAGCGAAATGTGGTTGTCGGAAATTTTTGGAAACTGTCACCTAATTTTTATCTAAAATCACGGAATTTTTCCGCGGTGTTCCGTAATTTTTATCTGAATTATCGGTGAAAAATAACGATACCGTCACTTAAATTTTTCGAATCAACTCCGTAATCGGTAAGTGAACTGAAAGTTCCGTAATTTTTACTAAATATTTCTCTCCGTGCAGGTCAATAGATGCGTGATCTTGATTATGTTAACATGTTGTATAGTAATGGTTACTATGATTATAAATAACGGTGTTATTAAGCGTTATAACGGATAGTGAGCATTATAGTGACATAGTAACAATTACTATTTCGTTGTTGTCGCTGGTATAGTAATGGCTACTATGTCAACATGGCGATCGTTACGACCTTGCATAATTATGAATATCATATTCCATGCTGCAATAATTATTGTGTCAACATAGTAATGGTTATCAAATTTAAACATGATCATGATAGTTTTGTGTCAAGATGGGCATAGTTAAATCTCTTTTTCTCTGTCTATTTACATCGTGCCTATTTAATACTTTGAGAAAGTACCAATCAGGTGACAAGTACTTTTGGCGCTTGTCTTTAATAACAAAAGTACTTGTGGGAAATACTAAAATACTCGTCAATAGTGCAGATAAATATTTTGCGCATAGTAGTTGCATTCTCTGAGCGAGGTGTGTCAATTTGTTTTGTGGCTTGAAGAAAGTACAGAATGTAATATCCAGTTTTCTCTAGAAATACTTTCCTGGTGGTACTTGTCATTAGTACTTACAATAATACGTATATTTTACTTTTCGCACACATCAACGCGGAAATTTTTTTGTGTATTTCGTTGAAGTACTAGAATTCGAATTATCCAAACTGAGTAATAAAAATTTACATAAAAATCAATACACGACATTAAATGATTTTATCGGCTGTTGGAAGATGTATGTCACTCCGACGAGTGATTCTGTGATGACTCATGTACACTATTCACAAGTAGATAACACTGGTCTTATCAGTGCGTCATTCACTTGCATTTTAAGAGTTCTGTTCTCACTGTGAGTAACCGTAAAATTACAGGACATCATGAATCAATCAATGAGTAAATAAATTGTTTTTTTTTAATGCATGAATCGCTCATTACACCGACATCATCAACATCCAACTGCTTCCAATTTTGTGTACATCTGCAATTCCCTTTCATCTCATCGTCCACCTCTTTTTCAATTTTTTCCACTAATTAATGAAATGTAAAAGGTCGTATCCCGTTGTGAAACCCTCTCGTAGATACGAATTTATAACCGTCTGCGAAATTCAACTCTTAACGACACTTGCGAAAGTTTTGGCCGATGCGAACCGTTCATCTTTAACTTTATAACTATTTTTTTTCTCTCTCTCGATTTTTATCCCGTACACTCAAGGACTCTGTAATACCGAAGGATGAAGACAGTAATATCAAAATTGTTACTATAATGGAAATGAAAATTACTTTTTTATTATTTCGGTTTAAACCGTGCACAAATTATAACATCGCCCCAAGTACTATATTTAGTTAAACAAATTGTTAATACGATAGCAAAACACAACCTGCCCCTCCCCTTGCACAACAAAAAAAATCGCGGATGCAACTGGCTGCACCTATATAAAAAAAATATGTAAATTATCGAATATAAAATCAAAGTGTAAATGTATCTATATTTATAAATATTATTAATCGAAAAAATAATATTCCTATTCAAATTTCTTTGTACTTTGTGTGAATTTATGTAATATAAATATAAATTTATATACAATAGAAAGAAATTTGACTAGAACAAAAACATTAACAATTGTTCATGTTTTTGCTTAAATAATTTAAATTAATTAAAACTGTCAAATGTCTTTCTCAGATTACAGAATGACTGTCTAAAATGATAAGCCTCTCGTTAAAAAACATTTAATGACTTAATTAACCTTTCAAATAGAAAACCTTTCATTATCAGATTAAATGTCAAATTGATGCTTTTGAAAAAAAATCGTTTGGTATAATTGTTTAACGACGTAATAAATTTTGTATAAAAGACATCGTTGAAGCACAGCTGATTAGAATTTTACTAATAATTTAAATTAATTATTTTTAATAATAAGCTTAAGCGCATTCGGTGTACATTACATGTGCATTATTATTATCGATTTGTTTTGCAATACGTTTTTTTATTATTTTTGAGGTATTCCAATTGACAGTTTATCAATCGACGAATTGCTAAACCCTTGATTCATCTATATACTATAGTTATCGATTTTGAATATATACATAGCAAGAGTATGTAAAAAAAATGGCGCGTATAAGCTTTTTAGTCATGAGGTGATCCCAATGAAAAAATCGGCAACAAAAATTATATAAGTCGATAAATAACGATGAATTTGTGGGAAAAAATGGTGAAGCCGTGGAATTTTCAACAGAAGAAAAGAAAAATGTTCAGCCTCGAAAATTTTTGATTTACATGAGTGGTCGGTAGTACGCGAATGTTTACAAGCCGCCCTCCATCAAAGCCTCCGGTGAGAGGGGAAACGTTATATTAATGAAATGTACCCTGCCGATACCAAACGAACGAGTTATGATCGGTAGCTGGGATTTCTCGGAAAACGACGCCCCATGGAATCGTCTCGCATGCCTGATCATAATTAATAACACCGCATGGCAATGCTCAGTATATTTGTATATATTTCTAACCAGTGCTCTGGTATCAGAGACGTAGGCGCCCACAAAGCTGTCCACGCTCTTAAAATCCCCGAGCTCATGTCTCATGCCAATTTCCAGATAGTGCATTTGCCGCCCTTATCCCATACCCTCTGTACACAACTTTATTTATTTATTTTGAGAAAACGCTCGACTCATTTTAAAGTAGTCGATGGGTAATTCATGGGTTGTATTCATGAGTAAAATAAGAGAATTTACATGAGCCAATTGCTCCGCAAAAATATCACAAGATATACATAACTAATAATTACTATTATTTTCTTTGATTTTTAACGTTCATTAATTTTTTGGCATTGCAAAAAAATTATTTTTTTCAGTCACGACTTAGACGATATGGTAAAAAACAATGTTGGAATATTTGAGTACTGCTCTTTCATTGTCCTACAAAAATCACTTGACATCAACTTATAACATTCTTGGAAAGAGCTCTGCTAAGGACTAATTTACCATCGATTGTATTCCGCACTCTGGAGTGGTTTAATCTTAAATATATGCTGAAATTTTAACAAAGGACTGTCTTCCTTTTTGATTCATAAAACTGTTTTTCAGTTTTTCATTTCCCTCAGAGAGTTTTCCATTTATTAGTTTTATTTAGTTTTATAATAAATGGTTTGGTCTTCCTCGTGTTAATAACGAATATTTTATAAATTGTTTCACCGAGTGTCCATGTATATATATATTTATTTATTTACACCCATATTCCAACAAAACGAAAGAGCCCCAAGAAAAATAATCACAGATTACAAATTCTGATTGCTTATTTTTTGAAATTCAATTAAAATTTTTCGATTTACTTAAACAATTAGCAAAAAAATAAAATACAGGGATAATCTCGGTGAGTCTAATCTGAGAGTGGCAAGTCGGTCGAGTTCTCACCAAATAAAACTATTTAAAATCTCGAGGTTGAGGGGTGAAAGCGCAAAAAGAATGCCACAAGATCACATACACCCATCATAACCCAAGTCTTCACGGAAGAGTCCGGGACACGGGACAGTAACTCACCTGGCGAACGTAAAACTGACCACTAGATCCGGTTTAGCAAGTTTCCGGATTCCGGGGGTCAGGCCCAACTCCCGCGGGCCCTAGACTCCCCTTTTATTATTTCCCATATGTCCTGTTACAGGGGAATCCTTTGGTCCGGTGACCATCGGGGCCACGACCTGCTACTGTCCACTCGGACCAATCATCCTCTGTCTTCGGCCCTTCAGCCACCAAAACCAGATTTTCTCCTCGCTTCTGCCCCCCCTCCCCCCTCCTGACCCCCTCTGCCCCCTCACTCACCCCATTACACCTACCCTCACTTCAACA